CGGCACATCTTCACAGGAGGATTATCTGCTCGTGTAGGTCTTGTTCATATTCTGGACAAAATTTATTGCTGCAGCCCATTCTTTTCCCATCAAATGCTGTCACTAGGGAAGTGGGATATGTCAGACAATTCCTCCTTTGTTCAGTGTTTAGCTGCTTTTACTGTGAAATGGGAAGAATGGTGAGTGGCTTTCCCATCCCAGGTGCTTGGAAATCTAGCGATGAAAAGATTTACTTTGGATCCGGAAGACTTACTTTATATTTTTAATTCCTTCTGTAATTTGCATACACCTCTAGTGTGGAGGATGATGCTCGTAGAGCAAGTTCAAAGTCAGCAATTCAGTTCAAGCACATCTATTTTTTGTTTTTCAATGGAATGTGGTGTAAAATGCAAAGCGTTTCATGGCGTTGACACTTAGGGGCAAACTGCAGAGTTTGCACCCAAATTGTTCTGGCCCAGGCAAAAACCTGCAGCGAGCAGGGGCTTCCCTGGTCACTTTGAGCACTCTGCTTTCTTGTTGTGTTTTTTTCATTTGTTTGTTTGAATAACAAGCGCTTGATCCAGATGCTACATCGCAGAAGCTTTAGCAACATCTGCCACTTTGGCAACCTCCTCAGACAGTTGTGTCAATGGCTGCTGAACAGCTTGGGTTTCACAATGGCTGATTTAATCTATTGGGCACTATTTTTCTTTCTGACTCATCTTTGAGTAACTTTGTGCCAGCTCAAATCGATTGTAAACCCTTGTACAGTCCATATAAACAAATCTGTTCTTGTAGTGAAACAGGCCATCGACCTAAGAAATATGTGTGTTGTTCACAGCCCTGCCACGGAGAGTCCTGCAGTTCCTTGGTTGCAGATGCACATCCAATTAAAAGTGATTTCTAAGACGAATGTCACCGAGTGATTAAAAAGCAACAACAAATATATATGTATATAAAAAAAGAGACCCACATATTTTATTTTTTTAAAATTTTTAATGCATTGTTAAAGCAGTAGCACATGTTATTCAGAAGATGTGGCTGTAAAGGTCAACAGACGTCAGTGACAGGGAGTAGTGCGGTCTTGGCACCAAGAGGGATGCAGATATGCAGACTTCAAGATGAGCTGCAAAAAAAGTGGATTGGGCCTCCTTGGCTTGATTTTTACTCTTCTGACAGAGTATTAGGGTCTTTATTTTGCATTAGTAGTTTGCCCTTTTAGTAACTACAGGTAAAAGGAAATACGGTGGAAAGTGCTACAGACCAAGCAGCTGGATGAAAGGAGGATGTATCTGAGTGTGTCTCACCTAGATAAGAGTTTAATGAGGGGCCAGTGTTCATACTGGTGTGAGAAAGCTTCTTTCATCCCTAGCAATCCTGTAGTGATTGTTTAATTCATCAATCAATCTGTTATCTTCTGGAGGTGAGAATTCAGGAAAATAAGATCGATCCCAAGCTGGGACTGGTTCAGGCTCAGATAGATCCAAGTCAGAGCCGGGAGGATTCTGAGCATGTCGCTGTTCAGCTTTAATTATCTCTGATGCGTGTTAGCGCTTCTTCTGCTTCGCACATGAATTTAAATAACCTGATCAGCTCTTACTTTGGTCTTCTCGGAGATCGATGGAAGCTGCCCGTAAGTGGCGGTGCAGGTGTTGGCGGGTGCAGGCAGGCAGCTGGCTCCTGCTGAGGTCCCCCCAGTCCTCCCAGGAGCATCTCTCTGCTGACGGAGGACAAGGCAGATATAACATTTCTCCCGCCGTTGTCCTGGGAAACAGTTTTGCTTTGGTTTTTCCAAGGCAGGACATACCACTCCCCTTCATTCTGCTCAGGCATCCTTTCTTTTCAGGGAAGATGGAACTTTTGTGAACATCTTCTGTGGGTGCTATGGAGTGTCGCAGCTCGGGTATCTTCTTTCCCGACTTACGTAGGAAACCAGAGTTCAGCTGATTTTGTGATCCAGCCTTGTTTTGTTTTTTTCCTGTGTGCCACGAGATTTATGTCAAAAGATTTATTTGATGAAATCTGCTGCATTACAAGCTTTATGCTGCTCAACAGGTGGGACTAGATAAGTGTAATAAATCCTGAAACTCTTTCTTCTTCCATTAATCTTTACAGTCCTGTTTTTCATGAGACCTGACATTTCCATATGGGTGAATCCATTCCTGGATGTTAATATGCTTGTTTAATATGTAAGGGTGAGGACTTCTGATATCTGATACGATGTCACAGAACCACAAGTGGGTGCCTTTTGCATCTTATTTAAGCTAACATGCATGAGCGCTTGGTTTCACAGCCACATAAGACTAAGAACTGTCTCGATAATATCCTTTAATCCTTTCTTATGATCAGGCTCGTGCTACTGATGTTACACAGATGCTGCCTAATTTGCAATATTGTCTGAAGGAAGGATAAGTCGTAGAACACGATCTGCAAGAATTCAGGAGTGTATGCGCGCTGATTTTATTTTTTGTTGCCTCTTCCACATTTGTGTAGATGACTTAAAAAATTATTTTTTTTTAAAAAATAGGGCATGTGTGTTGCTAGCTGTAAATGTAAATATAAATCCTTATCAGCAACTGTGTAATCCGGCAATGATCTCTCTTAAATTGAAACAAATAATAAATTTTGTAAATAGAGCTGAGGACTGATGGTGTCATCCTCACAGGCGGTTTATATGTAAAGAGTTTTATATTGACTATGCAAATCAACATTGAAATAACACCAGAAGGGAGTGAAAGATAAAAGAGCTGTTAAACCTTTCGCGTGAATACTTCGCATGAATACTCAGCTCCCCAAGCCTTCCAGCAGCCTCCTCCTGCCACGGGTGAGCAGCCTCTCCCAGTCCCTGAGCTGGTGGTGCCTTACGGAAGGGCTGAGCATCACGCCAGGCTTTCGCCTTTGCTCGGGTGGTTGGCGAAGGCTCGGGAGCTTCCCGAGACAACTCCATTCAGATGGTATATAGGTCAGTTATGTCTTTAATGTAATGCTTATTTATACAAAATGTCCTGAAAGGCCTTCTCGGCTGGCAGAAACAAACACAGACTGAAGGAAGCGATTTCTGCTCCAGTCTATCAGCTGCTCAACAGGCTCCTTCCCACCACGTTCGTGCCTGCAAACACACGTGCTTTTCTCTTATCTCCAGCACGGACCGACTGCAGCCACCAGCCCCATCTCCCTGCTCCGTGGTTGTGCTCAGCAAAATACATCTGGCTCTGCAGTTTAACTCTGATCTTCCCTCCGACTTAGTGTTTTCGCAGAGGAGACCCAAGTCCCAAGCTGTTTTTCTGATAAAAGAATTTAATCATGCCTCTGTGTCTGCAAGAGTAATTGGTGCGGGCTTTGGCTCGAAGAGGATCTGCGGTTGACTGGGGATCCTGCTGCATGCATTAACGCGCCTCAGCCGAGGATAAATCACTCTGTTTTGTTTAAAATCTTGCTTGTGGTTCAAAAACAAATGATATAGCATGAAGTGTACATGTGGGTTGGTCTCCTGATGATTCTCCAAGTAAATTAATCTGAGAAAATAATGAAAAGCACTTGGAGGAAAAAAAAAACAAAACCCAAATATCTACATCCCAAAGCCCATTTTAATGAGTCTTTTTCAAGCACAAACAACAAAGATCAAACTCCACCCTCTCCTCTATTTTAAAAGAAAAGCAACATCAAAGAAGAGGAGAAATTGTCAGTGTAATTACCGAAAGCGGTGACATTCTTATCCTAGAGGAGTTTTTGGAGTTGCGTGTTCCCATGGAGGTTTGTGTCTGTGGCTCTCGCCGCTCCCTGGAACGGTTTATGCGTCTTCAGCTGCTGAGTCCGTGAGATGAGTTGAAGAGGAGCAGGGCTGGGCTGGCGTGGGCAGCAAGGACTCGTCCTTTCGGTACTCGAAGGGCCCCGCTGTACCCGACCTGAAACTGGGTGTCCTCCAAGGCCAACAAACAGAGATGAGCTGTTATTTTGGGCAGGAGCGGAGTGTGCTGTAAATGAAATCAAAGCAAGCGTTGAAAATTACTCCTGAGTATCAAAATCTGGGTTACTGCGTGTTTTAATGTTAGATTTTTATTGTAGTTTTTTTTTTTTTAATTGGCTTGGAAATTTTTTGATTGCTATGGTGCTACATCAGGGGAGCTCTTCTGGGTCGTTAGCACGCTGTTTGAGGATGGAGTCTGGGGTATTTAGTGGTGGATCACCAACATTATAAAACTGGAGGAGGTGATGTGTCTTTTTCTGAATTGCTTTCCCTGGGCTAAGTCTTTGCTCCTGGTGTAAGCAGGAGTGTGTCTTGTGCTCAGCACCGGGGACTCTGGAGTGTAGGAACTAACCCCCCTTTAATAAGGACAGGTAATTAGCGATAGAACAAGAGGGAATGGTTGCAACAGGGGAGGTTTAGAATGGACAGTAGGAAAAAATTTTTCACATCGAGAGTATTCAACCATTGGCACAGGCTGCCCAAGGAGATGGTGGAGTCCCCAGCCCTGGAGGTGTTTAAAGGTCATTGAGATGTGGTGCTGGGAGAGATGGTTTGGGGGTGAGCTTTGCAGAGTAGGGTTCATGGTTGGACTCGATGATCCCAAGAGTCTCTTCCATAATTCTGTGATTCTAAGGACCAACAGTAGGGAAGGGGGTTGGCATCTTAGGGTGTCAGCTCCAAGAGCAATCACTTGCCCCATGGTGATTTCCAGCTGTTTTCAGAGATGTATGATAACACACACCTCATGTTTCTCCATCTCTCCCACTCAACGGTCATGGGTTGGTTTGAGCAAGCATCAAACCAGCTGTGAAAAACCTCTGGTCGAGAGAATAAATTATATCATGGTGCAGAACCCCAAACATTTTCCTGGCCTGGCTCTGCCACCCGTCTCACACCTGGGTTTATTGTGGAAGGGATCCTTCTGCAGTCGGCAGGATTATTTGTGAAGTTAGCTGCTGCTCAGAGTAAATAAGTTATGAAATCTGGCCTGATGTTATCAAAGGGGGTATTTCAAAGTCGTATTTATAGATTCACAAGTGTTCTTTGCATAAACATGTCGGTCTTCATCCCACTCACCCTGCAAGCCTTTGCCACCATGGCGATAAACATGAGGCAGAAAAAGCACCGAGCAGAAAATTCGCAGGTAAATGAGGATTCATTAATAGAACTGTGATTATTTTTTTTCAATAGACCTTTTTGTACGTTGGAAATGTGCTACTAGTGCTGTGATTGAAATGTCCCCCAGGAAAAAAATGGGAGTTTAATGGGACTGAAATTACACGGTGAAACCTTTGTTTCTTGCCACATTTCTGTGGTGCCCAGCCGCAGGATTTCGCTTATTTTGGCGTTCCTGATGCTGCCCTCCTCTTTCTCATGTGGAGAGCTCTTAACCTCAGCACAAGTGCCAGTGAGGGGGTAGGTCACTCTACCCAGAGCAAGTAAATCAGATGTTAGATCTTTGTTTCTCACATGTTTTTGCTAGAAGCAGCATAATTAATCAGTCCCAGTAGAATGACTGAAACACATTTTTTTCAGGCTGAATAACTGAAACGGTTTCTGTGGGACGAGCCTCCTAAAGTAAAATATTTTTAAAAACCCAGTGACTTTAAGTGAGAGTGTCACACCAAATGCAGCAATATTTCTGCCCTTGGTCCCACTCTGCCTGCAAAATAGAGATGCTTGTACATCCTCATCCATCAGCTGACACCTTCTTGCTCATGGAAATGGTGATGGTTTGACACCAGGCCATTTAAATTTCCTTCCTGACTGGGTTGGAAACCTCTGGCATTTTTCATCGCTCTCCCTCTGTCTTCCTCGCCCTTTTTCTCGGTTAGACTGATAGCGAATCTCACTGCAGCGTGTAAAAGCACACCAAACCGGACATGACATGAGATAGAATCTGTAATAACGCTTGGTAAATACGATGTGTAGTTGGGGAAGCAAGAAGAGGGATTTATCCAGGGATTGCTCCAGCCTGGTCCTGAAAACCTCCGAGGATGGAGCCTGCATGGCAGCTCTGAGCAGCTTGTTCCACAGCTTGGCTGTCCTCCCGCAGAAATGCTATATATAGGCTCTGCACAGCTTTATGCATGTCTATACATACATAGAGCATTTCTGTGGCGTAGCCTGATGTATAGTTTTTTCCCTCAAGAGCGTGAGAACTGACGGAAGAGTTATTTTTAGACTTGGGTGGGTTTTGCATCAGGCATTAGGTAGTTTCTTTACTGTGTGTGCCAAGGTATGGGGGGCAAATGGGGTTGCGGGGCCACCCTGAGATAGCTGGAAGCAGGAGAGCTGGCAATTAAAATACTTCCTGGCAAAGGGCTAAAGTCTAGAGGAAGACTTGAATGGCTGTGGGGAGAAATAAAAGTTAATGGAAAGTAATTTGGCAACTTAATCTGGAGGTTGGCAGCGATCCAAGTGCGTGATAATTTGATTTCGGCTACTTTTGTGTACTTAGTCATTCAGATACCCTGCAGAAAGTCACACTGAGCTCAGCTGGCTTAAGAGGAATCGAGCAGCTCCTGCCTCGACCTGCGTGGCCCTGGCTGTGTGACGGGCCACTGCTTCAAGCAGTTCGTCACGGGGACAAAGTAAGGTTTGATGGCATTCACGCCGATGTATCGATAGGAAAAAAACTTGCCTGGCTGGGACATTTGATTCCCTATTATCATCTTGTTGTAACAACTTTCATCTTAAGGCAGTCAAAGTATGCGTCTCCTCCCCCTCATCTCTGTATTTCGAGCGCAATTCGTTACAGCCCCGGTGACAGTTAGACAGGCATCATATCTCGCTGTGTGAGTGGTATCCCCATTAAGATAATGAGAAAAGTCTGACCTAGCTCTCAACATTTCTGCGCGGAACACAACCTTAATGAAGCTCCCAGCTATTTCTGGGCCTTCTGAATATGCTCAGATCTCTCGCAGAATAATTAAATTGCCAGGGTGCAATCGTTTTGCTCCTTCTTCAGGTTCATGTCAGCATCCTCGTTCGAAAGCTCGTTGCTTTGTCACATGTCTTTGCTGTGTTTTTATGTTTTAAATGTTTAAATGTTTACTCGTTATGGAGATTGTGCTGAGTGAGGATGCCCACCTCATCCGGGCTGCCCAGCTGAACCTCCCCGTGGTGCTCCTCCCTTGGGCACGTTGAGGTCATCTGTGGAGAAACACCAGAGTGTGACACTGGTAGTGAAGAAAAATAGCTTTATTATATATAAATTGTGGGGTTTTTAAAAGTATTTTTCAGGCACTAATGTGGTTAAGGCTTTTTTGCACATGAGATAAGGAGGGAGGGAATTTCGAGAAACAGTCTCTCCCTTCTAATGCACCTCGTCGTGCTTCATGTGCCTCTCTCTCACTTCTGATTTTCCTTGACATCTCATTGCCCTTCACAATGGTGAGTGATATTCGGTAGTGAGGGAAATGTGGCTGTTGATAGCTGAAAATAAAGTGTCAGGAGTGAAATATTAACCCACTGTAATGCACTATCTAATTAGTGTAACTCGCTGCAGACTTTAACCGTCTCCAATGCACTGCTCTCAAACGAGCCCCAAATCAGCCCTTATCTCAGCAGTGAACTTATTTAATATAAATATGCCAAGGATTCTCTTGAAGTCTGTATGTGTGACTCACCCTTCCATCTCTCTGGGATATGGGGCATAAGTCTTTGCATTTCTTAGTTTTAACTGTGCTTCGTCAGCCGTGCTATCGGATTTGGAGATTGGAGAACGCTTTTATGCAAGTATTTAATTTTTTGAGGGGGAAGAGTTTGCAGATTTCGGCATCTAATTACTCTGGCTAATAACAGGAAGGTCTGCTGCTACGACAGGAGCAGCGGAAATAAATTACTTGCACCACTCCCACAGCAGAATGCTTTTCCCGACGAGGATAATGCCTGTGCAGCTCAGGAAAAATGTGCACTCATTTTATTCTCTCGGATTCCACCTTCTGAAGCAAGGAAGAGGAGAAGTGGCATTGCCTTTCTCATGGCTCTAAAGATTAAACCTTTCTTTAAGACCCGAGGCAGTTCTTCCAGAATGCAGGGCAGTGAAAAAGCTCCCTGTAAGTAGCTTAGCCTTTAATACTAGATGGAGGGATGATAAGAGGAACCAGCGATCAAAGCTGCTCCCAGTCTGCCAGGGCTGTATTTACCAGTCTCCCCTCACACCAGTCGCAGAGTTTCCCCGTGTATATTGTATTTCTGTGGAATTAACGATAAGCGGGATGCACGTTTGGAACACGAAGTTTTGCTTAATGCCCCCGCACCCATCAGCTGAGCTTGACATTTTGTACAGGTGGTTTTCTTGCCCTGACAAGCGAATACACCGAGCAGAAGAGGTTTTTCCTGGCATTTGATGCTGGCTGATGTGCCCGTAATATGCACTAAAAAGGAGTGGGAAGGTGTGTGCCCCCGACACTCTGGCCTACATCCTGTGCAAACCACCCAGTGATTCCTTTAAAATTCCTAAACCCATATTGTGAGGCAGTGTAGAGGAAGTTAATTGGCGGTAAGGACTTGATTTCCCCAAATGGTAAGAAACACAAAACTAAAAAAAAAAGACAAAAAACCAAAAATACCCCAACCCTAAACAAACAAAAAAACCTCCAAACAGAAATGCTCACTGGGCCCTGATAACTTCTTGTGTTGGATGTCAGGATCCAGCCTTTATTCTGCATTTCTAGGGACATTTTCTTTAAACTTGCACTGAAGGGCTCCCCAGCTGACAGCAATCCCGTTCAGTCGATGAGAAGAGAGTGCGGAGGGAACCCAGTTTCCCTTTGGCTAATCCATGCTGGGTGTTCCCACTGCGTTTCTGGTCCTTCAGCCTTTAAGGAATGTTCTTCAGGAGGGTTTGCTCTATAGTGTTATCATGATTTAGGTGGGACCGGGCAGCCTGGAGATCCTCAGATCCTCTCCTTGCTTGTTTTGAAGGGGGACAGGACATTTATTCTGGTTATTGGGGTCCTCTCAAGGAACTGCAACCTATCTGCATTGGAGTACTAATGAGACATTTATTCTGGTTATTGGGGTCCTCTCAAAGAACTGCAACCTATCTGCGTTGGAGTACTAATGGAAATTGTCACTTATCTTTTCCTCCAAGCATTTGGGAATCTCAATACCTTAATAGTGTGAGAAAATAATTATTTTTCAAGCATAATCATTCAGGTGCAAGCTGTTTCCTTCTCTTTTGCAGTCATCAGTCAGTTGGAGTAGTACATTTCTGAGGTTAACGGTAAAGGAGAAGAAATAAATGCAATTATTATCAAATTCTTGTGGTATGAGCACACTTGTTTATTTTTTGCATCTTTCTCCATAAAGCTTGCGATGTCTTTTGCTAAGAAAACTTCAGTGACGCATATGCTCAAAATATGTCCGTTTTGGTAGAGTTGGAATGTTTCTGGACAACAGGGTCCACCAGAGGCCCCGTTCTCTGCTTGCTGAAGTGCAACGTGGCATCAGCGTGGCCAAAGACTTGTGTAGCAAGACTTCACACCAAGGGAGCTTTTCCACTGCCTTGAAATTCATATTGGGCTCTCATAGCAACATGGAAACAGGTGAGCCAGCGAGAAAAGGGGAAGACGAGTTATCTGGGCGCTGACATTTGTCAGTCCCAGTACTGTAAAACTTTGCACGGTCGCATATGCTGCAGAGCTGTGGCTCGCTAGCGGAAGACAAAACCCCGAACAGATCGTGCCAAAACGGTCTGTCACGCCTCGTGTCGTGGTGTGTATCCTGACTTCTCATAAAAGATAGCGTTGTTCTGCGGTGATAAGCGAAAAAGAGACACCGTGGGGAAAAAATGTTTTACTGTTGTGTCAAGAAAGCTGGGAAGTCTAATGGAAGTTATCGACATGAGATCGGTGGGGGAAAAAGGGGTGGCTAAATTATCTTCTCTTGACAGAAGCTCATCAAAGCCCATTTTATTGGGCTTCTCTCTTTGAAGATCTCTTTTCCCAAGCAAGCTAATTTCCATCCCAAGTTTTCAGTGTTGTACAAAAAAACCTCAGATTCTTCTAATGCCTTTTTCTTTCCTAGAGAGGTCAGAAAAAGGCAAAACATGAAATAAGAGCTAGGAATGTATGATTTATAATTTTCAAAATTTATTTAACATGGATTTCATAGCCTATTGACTAAGTTCAAGGA